TTGGGTTTCCGAAGCAGTACCACTTCAGAAGTAGATTCCCCAATCTTCCTTCAGAGGAGTGGCTGGTAGGTTTGAACCACCAGCTTTCTGGTTAGCAGTCAAATGCCTTAGGCACTATGCCACCTGAGCTCCTATTATTTTAATGAAAATGAGTTAAATTATCCCATCAAAGAGTTAGGAAAGATATATGAAGAAAGTTCAACTAATATAAATCCACTCTAAAAGGATACGAAGGGAAGATTTTACAGGAGCTTGCTGCTGTTTCAGGAATCTCTTACAGTGCTTTAAGACCCAGGAAAGATGATTTTCTGCACCATCTTTTAACAGGTTGAGGAATTTGCCATATCTAAATTAAAACATACAAACATATGAAATGAAAAATACTAGAATCTGCATTGCAAACTCAATTATTAAATCCATCAGAGTATATTCCCCTTGAAATCTCAAGATTTTAAGTTTTCAGATTTCCACTTTTAGCATAACTAGGTTATATAGAACACTTAGGAAAAATGAATTCTTAGTATATTTTCCTGATGATGACTATATCTGGATAAACTCACTGCCGTCGAGCCGGACCCAACTCATAGTGACCCCTCCTTGGGTTTCTGAGGTGATATGTCTACAGAAGTAGTTGCCCAACCTTCCTTCTGAGCAGTGGGCAGTATTGATATAGTAAATACTGGTAATTTTAAAGAAAGAAGAAATAGTGACAAGAGAACAAACTTAGACACCCTATAGATGAGTTCTTGAACTTAATCTAAAACATGAAATGCTGATAGGTTAGATTTATAGAATGTGGAGTCTAGAAGTAACTTCAGAATTCATCTAGTTCAAAGTTTTTCAATGGGAGTAGCCTTCCCTCAAGAACCACTTTGGAAATTGATGGGCGCATTCTAAATGACATTGCGGGGGTACCTAATAGTATTTAGAAGACGAAGGCCAGGTGGTTTGACATGGAACATGGCCTACATAATAACAACTTGCAATAATATTTGTGCTAATTAAAAATCTATTTCTAATTATCTGATCTAATTCTATTTCTCATAAAATCATAAAACACTTTTTTTTAACTGTATTTTAATATATAATAAATGGAACTACATCTAAAGGGAAAACACTACTTCATTTTGTCTGAACCTTACTAAGACTTGTTCACCATTTTGGAAAGTCACCTTGGAAAAGATAACACTGACTGTGGTATCTGAAACACCAAAACAAAAACCTCATCAGTCTGCATTTGTAGCTGCTATAGTCACAATGATTCTACATATGTGTTGTTGTGTTGTTATGTGCCATCGAGTCAGACCCGACTCATAG